AGCTAGTAAGTGTCAAGTGTTTGGTCTGAGGCCGGATTTGAACTCAGGTCCTCCTGACTTCAGGGCTGGTGCTCTATCCACTTCGCCACCTAGCTGCTCCTGGACAAATCATTTCTGTTCTCTTGGCCTCAGTTTCCCTGTCTGATCTGTAGGTCTGAGCTGTAGATCAGGGGTCTTAACCAGGAGTTTGTGGATAAATTTCAGGGGGTCTGTGAACTTGGATGGGAAAAAAGAATTTACATCTTTATCTTCACCAACCTTTGGTTTTCTTTGTAATCCTGTATATTGTATTTTATGCATTTAAAAAACATTAAGATGGAATCCATAGGCTTCCCTAGATTTCCAAAGGAGCCCGGGACATAAAAAAGGTCAAGGACCCCTGAGCTAGAGGACCTTTAAGATCTCTTCTAGATTTTGAGAGACAAGCCAGGAGGGGGCCTTGTGACCTTCCAAGGAAAAATTGGCCCCTTGATTTCTGCTTCTTTTTTCTAAACACAAACTGGGCAGGGGAGGCAGCCTGGGGTCTAAGCTTTCGTTGCTCCCCTAGGGAGTTCTTCAGTTGGGTTAGGCCAAACGTCTCCTCTCAGGCTGGGCCCCAGCCCCTAAACCCCCATCATGGTTCTCCTCCCCCCCCTCCAGTGTCCCTCATGCCCTGCTTATAAAATCTGAAGTACAAAAATAAATATTTGTCGATATAAAAATAAAACAAGCGCTATTCTTTGGCCTGCCTTGGAGGAAAGGGGGAAGGGAGGGAGGCAAGTTATGAGGGAACAGGCTCACTTCTCTCCTTGCTGCTCCGAAAGTGCAAGGTTGGGGGGTTGGAGGGAGGGTGGAGCCCAGGGAGAGAAGGCTCCAGTAGGGGAGGTCTGGCCCTGACTCAGAAGCAGATAGCAGGTTCCCTGCATGGCAGAGACAGAAACTAGGGCCAGATTTCAAGGTCTGAGCTCAGCTTGGCCTACGTGTAGTTTTCCTCATCTATGCAATGAGGTGATTAAACTAGTCAGTCTCTTCCAGCTTTAACATTTTATGTTTCAAGATCTCTTCTAGCTCTGAAAGTTTGTGTTCTATGTGCTAAGGTCCCTTCTAGCTCTGATGTTCTCTGTTCCATGCTTTAAGGTGCCACTGGAGTGCTCTCTTCCAACCCTCAGTAGCACAGATATTCTCTGCTCCATGTTCTATGGCCTGATCCAGCCCCAAGAAGTCTATGAATTCACACGCCGTTGCAAGTAGCTGGGTGCTTCTACCATGTCATATGAGGGACCTTGGACAAGGCCACCTACTGTCCAACATTTCCACCCACAGACCCCTCACATTGCTTTAAATTCTATCATTCAGGAATCATCCTTTTGTGGCATGGGGAGACAGAGCTGTGCCCTGAGGAACTTTCTACCCAGCCAGCACAAACTCCAACTGAACTTACTATCAGGGGCATCTGCTCCATTGGGTAATGGTGGGGCTTGGTACCCAGGATGGATCCCTGAGAGGAGGGGGTCCTCCTTCTGTCCCATCCCTCTGCCTGGCTGTGGATGTTCAGTAACTCAAATGAGCCCTGGCTGTTCAGAGGAGGGAATCAGGAGCCTGTGGGCATCGCTGCAGCCCTCCACTCAGAGAAACGGCCCCTGGAGCTCCACTGAATGTGTAAAGAGCCCCAGCCCCAGGCAGCCGTGTTACCCAGAGTGCCTCACCCTTCTTTGAAGGGGAGACCCAGCAAGTTCTTTCCTCTTAGCAGAGAGGCTGTGAACTAACTAGATAATCGGAAGAGGTATTTTGTGTCAAATATGGCTAAAGTGTTGTTCGTTTTTCTTAATTATAGTTTTTTTGTTGTGGGTGGAAATGTGGTCATTGGGAAGTGATGATGTAAAAAAAATTGGAGTAGATCTGAGATTTTCTTGCAATAAGGAATAGTAGGTGAGAAAGCTCTCTTTGCTAATGCAGGTTGGCACTTTCTCTGTAACTGGGTCTTAGAGAATTCCCTAGAACACAGAGAGGTTAAGTAACTTTGCCTCCAGTGAGACAGAGATTTGAATTCAGTTCTTCCTGGCTTTGAGCCAACCCTCTACTCACTAGGCAGCTCTTAGGAACACACCAGAGGCCTGAAATCCAACCTTCTCATTCAGTAGAGAAGGCAACAGGGGTCCAGAAGTGGAAGGGACTTGGTCTGGGTCTTACAACCAGTTAGTGGCAGAGCTATGACTTGAACCCCCATCTTGGTCCTCCTATTCCGAGGCTCCTTCCACTACACAAGCGGCAGCCACGGTTTAGGCCCTTTGAGGAGAGGGATGGGGAAGGCCATTCTAGTTCTAGTGAATTTCCCAGCCCCAACAACTGAACTCTTTCCCCCAGAAATCGAAAGTATTGGACCCAACCCACAAATATTTATCACCATGGACACCAAAAAACCCTCTCCCAGATAGGAGGTTCTGCCTTGAACACTACAGGCTTTCCTTTTTGCTCCACTGCACTCCACTCCCCTATCCCCAGGCAGGCCTAGATCACTATTCTGCTCTGGGATTGAAAGCTAGCTGACCCAACCCACAAATACTAGTCACCATGGAGACCAAACCTGTTTTTTTGTTGTTTTTTTTTTAAGGTAAGAGGCTGTACCCTATTCCCTCTACCTTTACTCCACCCATCACTTTCTCAGGCCTAGGACAGTAATATGACTCCTAGAATGTCCAAGCTGGGCAGAACCATAGGGCATAGCCACTCAGAGCTAAAGGACCTCAGAAAGGACTTGTCATGGAATCCCAAGAACAGCAAGCCTAGAAGGGGCCTCAGCAGCCATCTAGCCCAAGCCATACCTGAATGAGAACCTCCACTACAAAATATCTAGCAGGTAGTTGTATAACCTTTGTCTGAAGACCTCTGATGGAGGAAGCCCGTGACTTACCAAAGCAGCCCGTTGGAAAGCTGGAATTGTTAGCAAGTTTTTCCTTATGTCAAGCTTCTCTGCAACTCCTATCCATTGATCCTAGTTCTAGCCTCTAGGGCCTAGCAGAATAAATCTAATCTGTTCCTCATCTCTCCTAAGTATTCTCTTCTCCAGGGTTAAACATCTTCAGTTTCTTCATTCATTCCTTCTATGGTACAATGCCAAGGCCCTTCACCTTCAGGCCCTCCCTTGTAGGCTCTCCAACCAATCAATGTAGAATGTAACACTGAGAATTAGTGTGATGTTTCAGATGGGTTCAGACCAGGGTAAAATACAGTGGGATTATCTAACTCCTCTTTGGTTCAGACACTATTTTTCTCTTAATGGAGGCTAAGATCATGTTAGATCTTTGGCTACCATATCAGACTGTTGACTGGTATTTTTTTCAGGGATGTGCCAGAGCCAACTCATACCAGCTCCCAAGAGCCCAACTGTTAAATTTCTAGTGTGAGCATATAGACCTTGGAAATCAGCAAATGCTACAAATGAGGACTAAACTTTAAAAAGTGCTGGAAAAATGTTAATAATGCAGACTAAACTTAAAAGTGTGAGTGCCATACATTTTTTGGAAAGTCAGTTGTTAAACATTTACCAGCATACCCTTGCTTTTAACATACTAGCACTCTCAGATCTTTTTCAGAATGGCAGTTATTTTACCATGCCTTTCCCATCTTGTACTTGTGAAGTTTATTTTTTGAACCCGAGTGTAGGATTTTACATTTATCCCCATTAAATTTTATGATTATATATTTTGAACTGGAAGGGATCTGAGAGAGTTCATCTAGTTCAACCCTCTTTACTTTACAAACAAGGAAACTTAGACCCAGGGATATTATCCTTTGTCCAAGGTCTAGTAGCTGGTAAGGAGTAAAGCTGAGATTCACACCCAGGCCTTGATCCCAAAACACCGTGCTGCCTCACTAGTGAGCAACTGAGATTTGGCTCAGTGTTATTTTGGGATCCTGACTCTGGCATCCAATGTGTTAAGCCATCTCTGAATCAAGGACAAAAAAGCTTTGACAAGTTCTGGGTTTTTTTGCCCTCCCCTGCCTCTCTCTACCCTCTCAAATCCCACTTGTTCTTCTGCACACAATTCTAGTCTCTTCCAATCTGTGCTGTGTCCTCTCTCTTGGAAACCTTCCCTGATTATTCCAAACCCAACTGATTTCTCCTTCATAGAATACCTACTGTCCTGTCTGTACCTTACTAGCTCTAACAAAAACATGAGTCTCACATTCTGTTGCCCAAATCACAGGATCATGTATTTGGAACTTGAAGAGACCTCAGATCCTTTCCTTTTTGTGGATTATCCTTTGAACCACTGCCCTTTCCAGAGCCCTATGATATATGTGTCTTCTTTTTTCCCTGCTTGCTCATGGAGTTGCTGTCTCCAACTAGACTGTGAGTACTTGGAGGACAGAACCACAGAGCTGGCATTACCTGGAGACAGGATAGGAGGCTTCCTACACCTTTGGACCTTCCCTGTCTGTTTGCTAAAGCTGGGATATCCCTCTACTGGCGACAAACCCTTCATTCCTACCTCCCTTCCTTTTGTCATCCCCTTCCCCCAATAGTGGCCACATTAAGGACACAAGTTCCCTTAGGAGAGGGAACACAGGGCTGGGTAGTTTCAGAGAGAGGTTAGTGACATCCCACTTCCTTTCCAGGAAACAGGTTTAGGAGGATGTGGGGAGAGCACAAGGTATTGGGAAAATGAAGAGGGGAATCATTATAGACAGAGGACAACTGCATGGCGGAGGGTGGTGCTCTGGACCAATTGTGTCTCTTGAACATTTTTGTTGCCCAGAGGATGGGTGGATGCCTGATCCAAGAGAAAGCTGGCCTGGCCTGAGATGACTAGTAGTTGCCCAACAGAGCAGCTGGGTCCTGAAGCAGGCTTTGGTTTTAATCCTTTGAAAAAATGGGCTGGGTACTTAGGTGGCCCTCTTATCTCTACCACTGGGCCCCTGGCAGAATGTGGCAAGAATCCTCAGGGCCAGGGATCGAGCTGTTACAATTTCCCATACCACTCCTACCTCCCCTATCAGGTTCTCTGCATGGCTCTTTCTCCAGGTTTGACTCTTTCCATTCACAGGTTCATCTCTCTGGGTGACCAGTCTCCCTCTACCCTGACCCTCCTGACCACATTAGGCTTTCCTGTCTACTCCTGGCGATACAGATTCCCTTAATGCCAGATGGGCTTGATAAGTATTTCTGAGAAGAAGTCATGTCATTAAGGCCAACCCAAGGTCTTCCTCAGTGAGGTCTGCTTCTGAGATGGAGAGAAGCACTTGACAAGCCCATGCTAAGTAGAGATTTCCAATCATCTCATAGTTAGAGAGCCAAAGTGTATCCCTTCTCCTGCCCTCAGTCTTCCTCATGCTCAGCAGAGCAGTCTACATTGCTGGTACTCCTAGCCAGGGAGCCCAGCAGTAACCAAGGACTTGAAAGTTTGGTCTTTTTGAATGAAGATGATTCTCTGGATCTAATTAAAATGTGTGTGGGTGGTGGTGGTAGGGAAGAGAGAAGGAGCCAGTTCATCTGGCCATGTAATGAGGCCCTTGGATGGCAGCACTGAGGACAAGGAGGGGCTGCCCAGACTGAGGATGGAAAGGATAATGGGCTGGATTCGGAGAGGATGATTAAGGCCAGGAGAGGATGGGAGATGGTGGGAGAGAGAGGTCAAAACAGAAGTAGAATTAAGTGGGGATCAACATAAGCAGAGAGGAAGCCTCCCTTCCCCAAAGTAGGGCTTGTGTCCAAGGAATCCAGAAGAAGCTGTTCTGTGGGACCTTTCCAGGGTGAGGGAACCACAAGAATCTGAGCCCTAAAGCCAATGCCAATGTGGCCTCTAGGAGATAGTCTGGCCATCTTGGTGAGGCTAGTCCAACCCTGACTGCCAGCATCTTGGTGCCATCCAAAGCTGGTCTTATTTTGGGCAGTACAAATGAATTTGTGGAATCCACCAGTCTGTTGAGGTCCTGTTCCTCCTCCAGACAGAACTTCAAGCATCTCAGACAGTCACCCTCCTGGTGTGTTGAGCTTTAGGTAGTTCTCCTCAGGGCGGGGGAGTGTCTTTGTCCCCCTGATCGCCACTGATGTCCTTCCACGCCTGGGCTGTCATAGCTCTAGAAGTCTGTGGGCCTCACCATCATGCGCGTGGCCCGAAGTGAGTAGCTGGGGCCCTGGAAGTAGTGCCAACGGATACCATTGAGTTTTCGGACATTGTGCCTGGCTGGGTAGTAGATGCCATTGAGGTTGGAGAGCCCACAAGCATCAAACCACCATCCTGGAAAGAGAGAACACTGTTCTAATCTGGTTTAGATGCCTCCCAGGGTATAATGGGCAGTTTGATAATATTTTCCCCCTACTCCCCACTACCCCGGGTCTTTCCAATAGTTATGAGATACCTACAAATGCAGAGAAAGCAGACCAGGCCCTCTCTCTTATACCAATATTACTAGCTAGCTGAGCTGCCAGAGAGCTAGTGTCTGGTTTTAATTGGTTGTCATCAATTGTTTGGCTAACGCCTTAGCAAAGCCCTAGATTGAGGGTCAGCATACCTAGGGTGAAGTTCTGGTTCTACTATATAAATTAGCATGACCCCAGCAAATCACTTTTCTCTGTTGAACTTCAGTTTGTCTATTTATAAAATGGGTAAATAATATTTGCATCTGTTCTCTCTAAGCTGTTGTGAGGAAGAAAGCTTTTAACTGTAAATGCTATAGAAATGTGATCTATGGTTTTTGACAGCTCAAAGAGAGTGAAAACCCGGGCCTACTTTCCTTGTCTCCTTCCTTTCCACTGAATTTAGCACAAGAAAGAGGAACAGGATATTATGTAGGTAGGCACTTCTATTCCCAAAACGAGGCAGTCAGCGCAGACATAACCACATTTTAGAATCATAAAGTGTTCAATCTTGAAGGGGCCTCAGGACATAGAATGATGGAACATAGAATTTTGGAGCTGGAAGGAACCTTAAAAATAGGAGTCAAGAAGGACCTTAACATACATGGAGCACAGAATGGTAAAGCTAGAAGGGACCTGAGGTATAATCAAGTCTAACTCTCATTTTAGAGATGTGGAAACTGAAGGAATGTGATTAGTACTGTAAGAGTACGTGAAAGACAGTGTCTCCTTTGCCACTTTGTAAGGAGCTCAAGAGTAAGGGGACTTCCATTTGGAGCCAGTCGGTTGCCAATGGGGTAGCATCTTCCCAAGCCCTAGAATGGTGATGGCTTTGCTCTGGGGAGAACTGGAGGTTCTTTGAGGACTTGTCCATGTGGACATGTTGTACCAAGGCCCAGCCACCTGCTTATGGTGCCAGCCATTTGGAGAAGTTATGACTTTACGTAATGTTATGTATATAGATATTTATGTTTGTGCTTTTACCTTCCCCTGACCCTATGGCAAGCTCTTGAGTATTTGGGTTGAGCACAAGATGTAAGTGCCAGATGCTTAGAGAGGTGAGCTGTGGTTAGCTAAGTACATTCTTTGCTGAGCACCGGGCTCTTTAGGGAGTAAGCAGGTGCATAAATGTTCATTGAATGATTGCTGATGTTGGACAGTGGTTTAGGAGAAGAGGAGCGACTCCCGCATTTACTTCTTCCCCTTTCCCTCCCTCTCCATCTCTCCCCTCTTGGCCCTGGTCCTCACCTCCAGACAGCATCTGGGCGCACTTGCAAAGACAGTTGTCATTGTCAGAATCTCGGGTGCTAAAGTTGGTGCCCTGGAGGACCAAGCCACTTTGGTGACCCGCTGTGCCACTGTACTCCTTCAGCATCAACCTGGAGATCCCAGTGTCCCCATAAGGGACAGGTCAGAAGGGAAGGGAAGAGAGGGGAATGGGAGAAAAGAGGAACAGAAAGACAAGGAATGAGAGTGGACTCAGCCTGTGAAAACATTGTATTCCCAGGAGGGGGAAGGGTGGGGAGGCCCTCTAGCGAGTTCTCATCCACTCAGATGGGGTTGAGTTTATTAAGGGACAGTCTTGAGAGGCACAAAGAACCTATCTCTAAGGAGATGGGCTGGATGGCTGATACTGGAGGAGGGCATTTCTAGGGAGACCCTGGGTTACTATGACACTTGTACCCCAGAGGGCAGGTGTGTGGTAGCATGTAGTGATTGAAACCTTGGAACTTCTTGCCTCACTATGTGTATTCCGTCTTTTGTCTCCCCACCTTCTAGAAAGCCCCATCCCCATCAGCCTTTCCGTAACTCTTCAAGGCCCAGATGGTCTTCTCTAGCAAGCCTTCCTTGATCATGCCAGCTCCCAGTAAGCTCTCCTTCCCTTGCATTCCTCCAGTGCTCTCTGTGTTCAGTCCTCACTGGGACCTGAGTAGAAAGAATCTGCCCAGGATTGCTCTCTTCAGCTAGTATGATGAGCTCTCTCAGGAAAGGGTCCAAGTCTTAGGACCTTATTCTCTCTCTCCACCCCTATTTCCACCTCCCAACTGGCATTTATCTAGTCCTTTAGAAAAAAGGTGTCCCAAAAGTCTTAGTGTAGTTTAAATCTTTTTTTTTTTTAGGCAATTGGGGTTAAGTGTCATTTAAATCTTTAATAGCTTAAAACCACACTAAAACTTTTGGGACATCCTGTATGTACATCATCTCATTTGATCTCCCCACAGCCCTCTGAAGTACTATAAATCACTACAGGTATCTTAATCCCCATTTTACAGATGAGGACACTGAGGCTCAGAAGAATTAGGTGACTTGTCCATGGTCACAGAGCTAGTAGGTCTCAGAAGCAGGTCTCTCCTGATTCTAAGTCTAGGGTTCTTTCCCCTATTCCGCAGTCCCCATCACATAGCAGGCCCAGGGAGGGGTGGCCCTTTCACTTCTCTGTTTTTAGACAAACTGAATATCTTTCCAGGAGACTTGCTCACAATAGGTTTGGGTTTTAGACCATCAGTCCTTTCTGTGAATATGCTGTGTGTGTATATACACACATGTATTATGTATATGTATGTATATGTCTATACGCACCACACATATATGTATCTACATATGTAGGACATACTGTGAGTCACCTCTTTTTTCATTCATGTTTGCCTCTCTGTGTGTTTATATTTGGGGGGGTGTAGTTGAATGTATATTGATATTTTTCTGCATGTATATTTGTATCTGTGTTTATGTGTGTGGATTTGTGCATGTTATGGTGTATATCTTTGTGTTTACAAGTGTGTGTCTGTGAGTATTTATGTGGGTTTGTGGGAGTGGGGGTGTGAGTGTTTTGTCTATGACTGCCTATGTTTGGCTGTGTCTGTTTGCATGTGCCAATGGGACTTTGTATATTTGTGTCTCTCCATGTATCTCTTTGTACGTGCAAGTGTAACTGCCTTTGTCTGTGTTTGTATGTGTCCCTCCGGCTTCAGTGTTGGTCCATATGTGTGACTGTAATAGTCAACAGGTGTGTGTTTCTTGCACTGCCCCTAAGCAGGTTGACTCAGTACACATGTATGTATTTTCCCCAGTCCAGAACTAGCTGGCCTTTCTTAGCTGTGGGAGGAGGTCAAGAAGCACTCTCAGACAAGTGGGCCTTGGGACCCACTGGGGAGCTGGGCTTCTCACATCTTCTACTTTGCTGGGAAACAGCCAAACTGTAACGTCCTCCTGGTCCACTGAGACCAAGGCAGCCTGGCCTAAGAATCCTTGGCCCCTCCGGCCTTCACTCCTGCCTGGGGGGTGGGAGGTATCTGGAGTGACAAAGGAGTATAAGGGGAGAAATTAAATCTTAGCTACAAACCACCTATAGCTCCCCATTGCCTGTAGGACAAAGTGTGAACTAATGTTCAATGACTTCTACCATATGCCCCCAAACCATCTGTCCTGATTCCCCTTCCATTATGGGAAGCCCCTATTGCCTAACCAACACAAAGAAGTCACTGTCTTTGCCTGACTTCTCTGTACCTTTAGCTGCTCACTGGACAGCTTCCTACAACGTGTGAGCACATCTGGACACCCCAGCCCAAATGCCACCTTCTGCAGCAGAGCTTGGCAGGCTGCTTCCCTCCCATTCCCACTCCTCTTTCCCAGGTGCCTTTTCTTCAGAAAGCACTTTCCATTGACTCTGGAGGCATCTAGTATGTACTCCGTTATTTACATATTTTCTCCCCCATTAGAATGTGAGCTCCTTAAGGGCAGGGACCACATTTTCGCCTCTTTTAGTATCCCCAGTTCTTAGGACAGGTCTGAAACATGGTAAGCACTTAATGCTTATTGAGGAACAGATAAAGTCAATGGTACATGCACAGTCAGAGTCTTTGCCTTATGATGATAAGATATAGTCACTAGGAATGTAATGCCTTGGACCAGTCATTTGTACTTCCCTATACAGATTCCCCACTGCTGCCAGGCTGCAGTATTCTGGGAACAGGCTGGGCTCCTTCTTTGGTTCACCCCTCCCCTGGCCCTTGTTCCTTTCTAACTCTCCATAATCCGTCTGTTTTTTTACCCCCGCTCAAGTGCCTCCTCCCCTGGGAAGCCTTCCCAGACATCTCAGCCCACTCCTTCCTCCCTCTGAACTCTCAGAGGCTGGACCTTGGTGTCTGTGCTGGGCTGTTATCACAGTGGAAGAGGAAGCACGAGGAAGAGATGTGACTTGTTCACATCGAGGTGGTCACACCCCCTGGCAGGGGAGGGAGCTCAGGTTTTTGATGCTTCTTCCTCTCTCTCTCTCTCTCTCTCTCTCTCCACCCCCCCCATCCCCAAGGTTCCTGCTGGGTCTCCCAGTTAAAAGAAGAGCCCCTCCCTCCTCCACTATAAGGTGAATCAGGAGCATAAGCTTTGTTGGGCCTTGCACGTTGTACAGGCAAACAAGTCTAACCACAGTACTCCCCATCATATCACTCCCCTGCTCACAAAACTTTGTAGTTCTCTGTTGTCTGTAGAGATAAAACCAAAATTCCTCTGTCTGTCAGTGAAGGCCCTCCACAATCTGTTTTAAGCCTATTGTCCTAGACTTCTCTCACGTAGTGCCTGGCAAAGAGTAAGAGCTTAATAGAACGATCAGCAAACAGCCCTAGGTTATGGTCGGCCTGAACTGCCGGGTATCCTGACACCTCATTCTTCCCTACTCTTTTCTTACAGGCTGTCTCCTCTGCTTTGAAGGTCCTCCTTTCTCATCTCTGCCCTTTGGGAGCTACTTCCTCCATGAAGCTTTCCTGACCATTTTCCACTGCCCCCCACCCCATTCTGTGCCCCATTGAAAATTCTAGCCTGTTCTCAGATTTTTCTAGAGCATTTGTCTGGATTTTTCCTCTGTCCCTGTTGCCTTCTACCTTTTGTTTTATTTGTGTGCAAGTGGTACCCACCCTACGATTGTAATAAGAACTAATTATCATCTCTATGCAGATAGCTTCCCAATTTATACATCCTGCCCAACCAGGGCTGTTTAGAAACCAATTCTGAACGTACCCTGGACACACTTAAGTTTCATCTGCAATATTAACATTTTTTCCATCACTTTTAAAAGTCCAGACAATCAACAGAACAATGAATCAAGCTTTGATTTATAGCGTATAAATGCTCGCACTAAAAATTTAACAACCAGCTCTCATACGCAGAGAGAGCTGGCTTTAGAATGCCTCTGAGCCCCACTCTTTATAGTGAGCCCACTGAAAATGTCAAACTGGATGGAATGGTCAAACTCAATGCCTCCAAAACCGAATTCATTATCTTCTCTCCCTAACCCCACCCATTCCTCTTTTGAATTTTGTTATTACTGTCAAGGGAACCACCATCTTTCCAGTCACCCAGGTTTGGCGTCTGCCTCATTCTCACTTACCTACACCATGTAAACAATAAGTTTCCGAATCTTATTTTTACTTCCACAACATCTCCCATTTTTTCCCTCCTCTCCACCCACAAGGCCATCATCACCTCTTGCCTGGATCATTTGCAGTAACCCTTTAATTGGTTTCCCTATTATGTGTGTGTTTTGTATTTATTTATATAGGTATATGTTATCTCCCTCGTTATTAGATCCAGACAAATTCTCTAGGAATATCTGAGAACAAGATATGATTTTCAGCTGGGGACAAGTAATGGAGGAGAGTGGGTAGTGGGAGATGGTCAAGGATGTTCTTTGGGGGCACGGACTATTTGGATTTTGTCTTTGTACCCTCAGCACCCAGTACTATGCCTGATACATAGTAGGTGCTTAATAAAAGCTTGCTGAGTGATAAACTATAACAATAATCCCAATTCCTAGTCATGTGAGGCTTAAAAATATTTCCTTCTGACAGCCGTAAGGGCCTAATGTGTAGAGTGACAACATGGTAGAGTGGATAGAATGGTGGACCCAGAGTCAAAAAGACCTTGGTTCAAATCCTACCTCCTATACTTACTAGCTATGTGACCCTGAGCAGGTCTCTTAACTTCTGTTTTCCTTGGTCAGAACTGCAAGATAAGTGCTTAATAAGTAGTAAAAGTTTGCTGAATTGATCAAGACAAGACGGGTCTTGGGGACAGTTTTCCTTCCCCTTCAAATCCAGCTCTTCTTGATTTTGTTAGGCCTCTATTTGCCAAAACTTAGAACTAGCATCCCTGCTGGGTTGAAAGGTTCTAGAGACCGGGCTGCTAATCCTGACTCTGCTACTAAACTCAGTGTGTGACCCTGGACCGCTTGGTTATGTCCCTTCTCTGGACCTCAGTTTTTTTCTGTCAGATGAGGGGGCTGGACGTAATGAGTTCCCATGTCTTTTTAAGCTCTGTTATTGTTAGTTATCCCTTTCCTGACCCCTCTCTTGTGGACAGGAGGGAGCTGGCTGCTAACAGGCCTTCTCCTCTGCATGACCCCACTGGGCAGAGAGTCTTGGAACTGCTGCCTCAGAGGACAGGTCCCCAGTCTCTTGGGCTCCTAGTGACGCGAGTCTGAATGAGGGACATATGGTGGTGGTGCGTCCCACCCAGGGCCATCATCTCTGACCTGGCCAGCCCGACCGTCTAGAGCCTAGTGGCCTGGGACTGTAGGGAACTCCCAGAGAGATCAGCGACCCCTTCCCAAGCCCTAATTCCCTCTTGGCTTCCCACCTGTAGAACTGCTGCTCACTCCCAGCTGGATTCGCTCATACTGGGCGTAAGCCTGGTTCCCCTCCCAGTCCAGCAGCTCCACCCTCAGGGCATAGGATGCCTGGCTGGTGAGCTGGTGCAGCGCCTCATTGCCCAGCCAGTACTCCCCAGCAGCATCGCCAAGCCCTGTGAGGGGAAGAAAGCAAAGGGGAACAGATTGGGTAAGGTGAGCTCTGGACAGGGCAGGGGTGGGGCCCAGAGCCAGAGAGGTACAGCTGCAGGCTGAGCTAGCACGAGGCAAATCTGTCCAATCAGCATTTGGCCGCATCCTTCTCGGCTGTTTCTCCCCATTCTTGTTGTCTCCTTTGACTTCTCTTTCAGGACCACCCGCACCTTCCACCATGCTTCTGCTTGCTTCCCCCTCTCACTGGACCTGCTCTCAGGAAAGGCTCTCATACCATGCACTGACCCTCTGAGGGCTGGTCAGCATCAGCCTCTGGTTCCCCCCGTCAGCCTCCTCTCTCACTGGGGGATGATGATGATGATGATGATGATGATGATAATAATAATAATAATAATAATAATAATATTAACTCACATTCCTCTAGCTCAGAGATAAAATACATAGTATGACAAAGGAAATCAATTGTGGTGAAATATAGTCATCAAAAAAAATTTTAAAGCAAATTCACAGATCCCACATTAGGAGGTCCTGCTTTAGTTCTTTAAGGTTGACAAAATGCATTCTTTGCAGCAGCCTTGTGAAAAGCCCAAGGCCCATTTTAGAGAATCTCTCAGGGCTCCTCCATTCATGCCACTTCTTGTGGACTCCTAGCTTCATTTTAGCCTCGTTTTCTGACTATTTTCACCCACTTGGATAGTAGGACTCAATTTCTGGCTCTCCTTCCTTCTGCCCACTCTTCTTCCTCAAACTCTGATAGGGGAGCCAGACTCCCACATAATTGCCTGGGTCCACAGCTTTCCAGTTATTTGTTTTTAAAATGTATTCTCCTATTAGACTATAAGCTCCCCAATTCCAGGTATTATCTTGTTTGCTGAATAATGCTTAATAAATGCTAGTTCACTCCTTCCATTTCTTTGTCTCTGTCTTTGCGTACGTCTCTTTCTGTGTCTTTGCCTGTCTCTTTCTCTCTCCTTCAAAACCCCTCAGTGATCCTACATACTTCCTCAGTCTATCACTACATCTCTGTTCTCTTTCACAGCCAAACGCCTGGAAAAAAGCTATCGATACCATCTGCATTTTCTCTTTTTTCACTCACTTTTCAATTATTGCAATCTGTCTTCTGACCTCATGACTCATCTGAAACTGTTCTTTCCAAATCTATCTTTGAATGGCCAGATACAATGTTGGGGGTTTTTTTGGGTTGATTTTTATCTTTCTTGACCTCTGCTGCATTTGACATCATCAAGCGGGATCATTGGGTGACGTAGTAGATAGAGCCCTGGGCCTGGAATCAGGAAGACCTGAATTCAAATCCACCCTCAGACACTTGTTAGCTATCTGACCCTAGGCAAGTCATTTAACCTCTGTCTGCCTCAGTTTCCTCATCTGTAAAATGGGAAAATTAATAGTACCTAACTCCCGGGTTGTAGTGAGGATTAAATGAGAAATTTGGAAAGTGCTTAGCACATAGTTGGCGCTTACTAAATGCTTATTTCTTGCCTTTCTTCTCTCTTCTCTTCTCTCTACACTCTGTCTTGGTAACCTCCTCAGTTCTTATGGGTTTAATTATCATCTCTTTGCAGATGATTTCCATATTATATTTGCAGCACTTAGTCTCTCCCCAGAGCTTGGGGCCTGGAATGTTTTGTGGGCATTTCTCTCATCCAGCTTCTCTCTGCTTACCATGGCCCCACCCTCGTTCAGGCCCCATCACCTTTCACTTAGACAATTGCAGTAACTGCTGAATTGTTCTCCTTGACTCAAATTTCTCCTCTCGCTGGTCTATTCTCTATGTGCTGCCAGCATGGCGTCCCTGAAGTCCACATCTGACTACGTCATTCCCCTGCTCAGAAAATCACAATAGCTCCCTATTAGCTCTAGGATCAAATTCAAACTCCACGTTTGGCATTTAAAGCCCTTCCCAACTTGGCTCCAGTCTCCCTTCCCAGTCTCCTACTTACGCATTCCTTGGTCCAGCCAAGCTATCCTATATGTTCATCACACAAAGCATTTCATCTCTCATCTCCATGCCTTTGCTCAGGGCTCAGGCCCCCATAATGCCCTCTGTCCTTCCCTCCACCTTGTAGAATCCCTAATCCCTGCTCAAGTGTTTGCTTCTCCATGAAGCTTTTCCTGATCCCTACAGCTTGATTTGGAGTGCCTTTCCTGACAAAATTGTGGCTATACATTTGTTTCAGTTATGTCTGACTTTTCATGACCCCATTGAGGGTTTTCTTGGCAAAGATAATGGAGTTGTTTGCCATTTCCTTCTCCAGCCCACTTTACAGATGAGGAAACTGAGGCAAACAGGGTTCAGTGACTTGCCTAGGGTCATATAGCTGGTAAGTGTCTAATGTCTGATTTGAACTCAGGAAGATGAATTATTCTTGACTTTAGACCCAGAACTCTATCCACTGCACCCCCTCCCAACGAAATTACTATGCATTCATTTTGTCCGTACTTATATACATATATGTGGTCTCTCTCAGTAGAATCTAAGCTCAAGGTCAGGCATTATTTCAATTTTGTTTTTGTATCTCAGTGCCTAATATAGAACTTGGCATATAGGAGGTGCTCGATAAATGCTTGCTCATTTATACAAAGGAGGAGACAGATTCAGAGAAAGGAAGTGACTTGCTCAGGGTCACATAGTTAATGCATGTTGGAGCCAGGATAAGAGCCTAGGACTCCTGATTCCAAGATAATTACTATTTCTACTCTCCCCCATCCCCCTTTATTTTTTGGTCTGGACCTGGGTTTTCATTGGTGTATAGAACTCCCTGGGAGGAAACTCCCTTCACCAATGCACATTGCCATCCTGTGGCCTGTACCAGATGAAAATGTAATTGGGAAATAATTTAATGGAATAAATGAAAAATGCAGTAGGCCATAGATAATGTTAATATGTGGTTTTCTAAGTTAATGTATGATAGGAAAAATCCTTATATATTGTTTAGTGGTCCCTTTTCTATTTGAGTTTGATCCCAGTGTTTTATGCCACGCTTCTCTCTCTTTCCACTAATCCATACACAAAAAAGGGCCTTTTTGTCCTTACTCATTAGGGACCTTATGGGCAGTGGGCTCTGGAAGGCTAGGCAATGTACCAAGGTTGCTCTCTGGTCCACTTGGAAGGAGATCCTATGAGGTCCTGAAGTTGTTGAAGAGTGATGCTAATGCAGAAAAGAGAATCCATGGTCTGGAGAGGGAGGGAAGCAGACAGAAAGACAGACAGACAGGCAAATAGATGATAGACAACAGACAGACACAGATAGACTGACAGACAGGCAGACCGACACAGAGAGACAGATGATAGACAGATGTCAGACAGACTGACAGACAGACAGGCAGACTGCTTCCCAGCCCTCAGGGAGCTCCCTGCCCCTTGAAGCCAACAAGCCTGTCTAGGTGTCTAGGTAGACGTTACCTGTTTGTAATCTTTCCAGTTCCTTTGGAAGTTTACACTGCCATTCACTCGACGCTGAATGAGGGTCCACCCCCCACCACTGGTCTCCATGTCACAGTATACCTGGTGGGAAAGAAACTTTCTGGGGTCACATTTAAATGAATTGGTGAATGAAAGAAAGGCTAAAGGAATGACTGTCTCTTCTGTGTGTCCTGTCCCACCACAGGAAATTCAGTCCCCCCAGCAGACCTGGTCAGGCCCTCCTACAAGATTCTCTGTCCTTGGAACTGCTGGGGTCAGGGTTCAAGACAAGAAGTTATAAAGAGGCTCCCCATTGCTGCCCCCCCTCCCACCCACACCTCTCTCCTTAATGTAACAGTGTGTATTCCAACTGCCCCAATTTTCCCACTAATATTCCTGCTCCTCTGTGGTAGCTCCTGCCAAGGAGATCCCCAAGGACCCAGCAGAGAAGGGGTTTCCTGGCTATCTCTGGGAGCTATAGGCTCCAAGATCTGTAGGTATTCCGGACAGTGAGGGCAGGGGAGCCACAAGGCAGTGTGGTGTTAGAAGCAGAGCCTTTGTTCAGGAGTCAGGAAATCTGAGTTCTAGTCTCAGCTTCACCACCATCTGACTGTGTGATTGGGACCTCAGTTTCTTAGTCTATAAAATGGAGGGCTTGGATTAGGGCTCTTGGAGTGTGGTGAATGATATCCTTGCTTGGTGGCCCTGGGTAGAAAGCCAAGGAGGTTCCCCTGCCCCCCCACCCCCTCCAACCTTCTTGGGCTCCGTCCAATTGGCCACGTGGATAGTGTAGACACCACTGATGTTGACCCCGGAGAGGCGGATTTCCCAACAGTCCTGGAAGGATTGCTCATCCTTCTGTAACAGAGCTGGAGTGTACAAAGGCAAAAATGGAAGGTGATGAAAACTGGGGAAAGAACAAAGGATCAGGTTAGCCTGGGATGGTCACCCTGGGCGGGGAGGGGCCTCTCTTACACCTGTGCCATCCTTCATGGTTTACAAATGCACCTCCTTTGATCCTCACAACAGTTAGGTGAGGATGACAGGGTGAGGATTAGCACCCTCATTTTATAGATAGGAGAACTGAGGCTTTGGAAAAGGGAAGATGGATTGTCCCAGGTCACAGCAAGTTAGTAGTGAGTCAGGGTTAGAACCAGGGTCCCAGACTGATGCTCTGTCCCCCATCCTGGCTTGGGGGATCCCCAAGACTCCAGGTAGTCTCCACAAGCTCCAGCTACTTTCAACCTCCCATTCGGTCCTATGTATACACATCCATAGGCTCCCACAGGAGAGGGTCACACCCAGGGCCTCTCCCACCATGTTGTTTCCTCTGCTTTAGCTCTCTAGGATTCAAATGGAACCTCTGAGGGGTGGGTCCTAGGATCATAGATTAAGGGCTAGAAGGGACCTCAGAGGTAATCTAGTCCACCCCTACCCCCACCACCCAACACACACACTTTTCAGAGGAAAAAAACAGGGTTCAGAGAGAAGTAACTTGTCCAAGGTCCCACACGCCGTAAAGAGTTGAGCCAGCATTTGAACCAAGGCCCTCTGATTCCAAATCTTGTGTCTGGTTTTTCCCCTGCATCACATCACACTGGTGTGTAGTGAAAGAGCCCACATGTAGGAGCAGAAATTGTGGCCCTACCACTAACTTGTGTAAACTTGGGTTACTCTCTGTCCTTCTGTGAGCTTCGGTTCATACCTCTGTAAACTGAAGGCTTGGATTCCATGGTCTTTTATGTTGTAAAGTCCCTTCCAGTTCTAAGGTTCTATGTTCTGAAATCCCTTAAAGATCCACCATTTTGCATAGGTAAAATGGGGTAAGTTATCTGACGTAAAGGAGGCAAGAAAAAGCTTTAACCGTGGAGGGGAAGAGGGGGAAGGTGAGAGGGAATGAGTGAACCTTACTTTCATCGGATTTGGCTTAAGGAGGGAATAACATACACACTCAATTGGGTATGGAAATCTACCTTACCCTACAGGAAAGTAGGCGGGAAGGGGATAAGGGGGGGTGATAGAAGGGAGGGCAGATTGGGGGAGAGAATAATCAGAAGCAAACACTTTTGAGGAGGGACAGGGTGAAAAAAGAGAATAGAATAAACAGGGAGTTATATAGGATGGAGGGAAATATAGTTAATCTTTTACAACATGAATGTTATGGAAGTGTTTTGCATTGAATATTATGGAAGTGTTTTGCATGACTACATGTATAATCTATATCAAATTGCTTGACTTCTCAATGAGGGTGGGTGGGGAGGGAGGAAGGGAGAGAATTTGGAACTCAGAGTTTTAAAAACTACTGTTAAGAATTGTTTTTACATGTAACTGGGAAATAAGATACACAGGCAATGGGGTATAGACATCTGTCTTACCCTACAGGAAAATAGAAGGGGAAAGGGGATAAGAGAAGGGGGGGTGATAGAAGGGAGGGCAGATTGGGGGAAGGGGTATACAGAATGCATGTTGACAGGGTGGAGGGAGGGGAGAGGTGGGGAGAAAATTTGGAACTCAATATCTTGTGAAAGTGAATGTTGAAAACTAAAACTAAATAAAATTTAAAAAAACAGCTCTACCGTTTTTCTGTTTTATGCTGAGGTGTAACTAGAATAAGGACAATGGAGCTTTTCTCCAGCGTGCTGAAATTTAGAAAGTCTTTCAAAAGGTAGAAACCACTGAGTTGAATACCCAATTAGTAAGAACAACTAGTGAAAAGGAGAAAAATACCAGATGATACCAGTCTTTTCCCCTGTTCTTCCCCTCTTGTCCTCTGAGGCCATAGCCCAGGTGAGCTCCATTCTCCATGGGCCTATACCATGGTCCCAGTCTCACTTAGAAGGGGCAATGTGCTAGGTAGGAGGTGAGAACTACCAAGAGGTCTTAAGAACATGCATAAAACCCTGGGCAAACTTTAAATTGCTATGTAAATGCTAGCTATTATTTTCATCCTTCCCTCCCCCCCGGCCCCCATCATCCCTGACTTCCCTGGGCCATGGTTTCTGGTCCTTCATCTAGGCACCAGAATGGCTAGTTCCAGACCCAAGTCCTTTCTGCCTCAGATGTTCTATGGTCTAAGGTTCTATGACATCCTGTAGAGTCAGTCTATTTCTAGAAGTACTATTTACTTAGGATTAGAGAGACAGGGTCTTCTCAAAGATTCTGGTCTCCTGCCCTCAGCTATCCTCTCATTTGCCTATCTCGTGCCTGCAATCAGCTGTTACCATCTCATTCCTTTTAGGATTGAATGCTTTTCTGTCCCAGGACTATAGGTTCATAGATCTAGAACTGGAAGATACCTCAGATACCAGATGGTCCATCCCTCTCATTTTACAAATGAGGAAATTGAGGCCCGTGGAGGTTAAGTGACTTGTACAGATAGTATAATACACAGGTAGAATGATGATGATGATGATGATGATGATGTTACAGGTAGTAAATATCCAAGATGGGATTTGAACCCAGGTCCTCTGACTCCAAAGCTATTATTTTCCCAGTGTACCTTTCTGCCTCCCTATCTTGTGTAGCCGAGGTCATGAAACTTTTTTGTTACTTAACCTTTGTTTGCCTCAGTTTCCTCAAATGTAAAATGGGGATAATAATACCACCAGCCTCCCAGGGCTGCTATAAGGATCAAATGAGATAATAATTGTGAAGCTCCTAGCACAGTGCCCGACACACAGTAGGTTCTTAATAAATTCTTGCTCCTCCCTTCCTTCTCCTCTTGCCCATCACTGGTGGCCCCTGCTCCATGGACCCCAGTGCATACACTTCCCAGGGTGGGGTGAGGTGGGCCAGAAGAGCAGAAAAGGGCCCACGATGTCTCTCTCTGTCCTGGAGGACCCCAAGTCATACTGAACTATTTTCTATGGGATGATTGAGAAACACCACAGTGGATCTGGCTCCTGGGGACCTCCACTGGGTAAATGACACAGCATTTAAAAACAAACAAGCAGGGAATGTTAACAACTTCTACCCCCAAACTGTTTGTTTACTCTACTCTCAGAGGTGGCTTTGGCTGTGAGGCTACTTGACCGCTGGCTCCTTGAAGGCTTGGCAGGATCTCAGGGCAGACTGGGCGATGAACTGCAGCTGACAGGTAGATAGTCTGGCCAATGAGCTGAGGAGCTGTGGCGTCTAGCTTCTGAGTGCTACCCCAGAGGAAGGGGGTGGGGGGAAGGGTCTGAGAGTGGTAGGGAACTCACAGAGCAGATAAAATATCATTGTCCCCATTTTTTTCCTTTTTTTTTTTTTTAGGCAATTGGGGTTAAGTGACTTGCCCAGGGTCACACAGCTAGCAAGTGCCTTTTTTTGGCAAGGCAGTTGGGGTTAAGTGACTTGCCCAGAGTCACACAGCTAGTGAGTATCATGTGTCTGAGGCTGGATTTGAACTCAGTCCTCCCGACTCCAGGGCCAATGCGCTATCCACTGTGCTACCTAGCTGCCCTGTCCCTGTTTTTCTGTCAAAGCTGCTGAGGCCCCACAGAGGAATCTGGGGTGCCCTAAGATCTCTGACACCTGATACCTGTGGGACCATGGACAAGTTATGTAATCACTCAGGACTTCTTCTGTAAAATGGAGCAGGGATAGATCATCCCTAAGCTGACCCAAAAGAACATAGCCCGTCATGGACTGTCATAACTGATAGGCCCCATAGAGATCATCTAAGCCAACCAAGGGGTAGGCACACAGCTTGCCCGCTTTAATCAATACTTCTTATTATTGTTTGTTGCAAATAGAGGATGTCCCCAGAGTACTGGTGCAGTTTTAAACTTTAATAGTTTAAAAGTACACTTAGACTTTTGGGACGGCCTCTCCTATCTCTCTGTCATGTACTTCCTCCCATAAGGAACACAGACTTAGAACCAGAAGGGACTGTTACCATCATTCAGTCATTTCAGTCTTGTCCACACGTGACCCCATTTCTATTTCCTTGGCAAAGGTACCGGAGTGGTTTGCTATTTGCATCTCCAGCTCATTTTACAGATGACAAAACTGAGGCAAACAAGGTTAAGTGACTTTCCCAGGGTCACACAGCTAGTAAGTACCTGACACCAGATTTGAACTCAGGAAGATGAGTCTTCCCAACTCCAGGCCCAGCCCTCTATCACAGTGCTGCTAGAAGAGATGCTAAATGTTATCTAGTCCAACCCTCTGATTTTACAGATGAGGTAACTGAGGAAGCCCCAAGGAGGGAAGTGAGCAGGACAAGTGGTAGGTAGATCAGGGATTTGAACTCAGAACTTCAGACTCCAAATCCTGAGACCCTTTCACCGGGCCATATCACTTCCCATTCAGTTCAATGAACATTCACAAAGCACCCATTCTATATTGGGACTGGGGTCACAAAAATAAAAATGGCCTGCCTTTTTGGAGGGAAGGGTGGGAGCACACACCCGTGCATTGATAAATGTACTAGAGAGTGATGCAACCAAAGGTGAAATCTAGACAGGAAAAGTAGGGGAGGAAGAGATCCCTTTCAGCCAGGGGATCAGGGAAGGCTTCCTGGAAGAGGTGGCAACTAAGCTGAGTCTTAAAATGAGAGATGGGGCCTGGGGGTAGAGGCATGCAGTGTTTGAGCAAAGAGGGAGCTATACCTTAAGACAATTCTGTTGGCAGCTGGTACTTAGGGTGCTGTGGAAAGGGGAGATAGGAAGGATCATAGCTCACATTTCTTTAGCACTTTACAAAGCACTTTCCCATTAGTTTTCTCATTTAATCCTCACAATATCCTTGTGCCTGTGAGGAATGCAGGGCAGGGGCTATTAGTTCCATTTTACAGAAGAGGAAACTGAGGCTTTGAGAAGGAATGGCTTGCTCAAAATCACACACAGAAACGAACATCTGAGCAGGAAGGAGATTGGGTCTTTCTTTTCTTTCCACCCACCACCCTTAATACACTGCGGTGTGTACATAATGGTTGATCGTATAATGCATTGACTGAAAGACAGAAAAGTAGAGGCCTTCTTCAGAGAATGGGCACACACTCTGTTTCCCTGTGGGTCAGCCTGACCTGGCTGGGAACCAGGAATCCCTAGGTTCTGCAGGGCAGAGCTAGGAACAGTAGGAGCAGGAGAGACACGGCATTCATGGGCCAGTGGGGAGGGGAGGTGTGGGAGTTTCTTGGATGACGACTTCTGAAGCCGTAAGAAATCCCACTTCTGAGGACTTCCACGTCCTTCCCCTCACATCAGGTCAGGCTTCCTTGCCTTGCGGAGGCCTGCCACACAGAATGCCTGCAGCTGGAGTTTGGCCTGGGAGAGATGAGAGGCCTGGGCATGGTGCCCTGGGTAGGAGAGACACACCTGGGACCAATTTAAAGAGCTCCAGGTCCAAGGCTTCACAGAATCCCCTCATGGAATCGTGCCTGGTGGTTTGGCTAGCCTTGCTGGAAGACCCCTTCCACCCTGCTCTCCTAACCCCCAGGACAAAATTCACTTCTTCCTTTTCTGGCTCCTTTGGTTGTAGGCCTATCTGCACCAAAGCTGATCCTAGGGAATGGTGGGAAGGTAGGGACTGTGCTAGCAGGGTCCCCTATACCCTATATATCTCAGAGAACAAGAAATGTCAGAGCTGGAAGGGACTTTAGAGATCTGGTCCAATTCCCTTATTTTACGTATGGAAAAACTAAAGCCCCAGAGGGAAAGTGACTTGTCCAAGGTCACTAGGCAAGTTATTGGTTATAAAGCCAACAATAGAACCCAGGTATCCTGATTCGCAATAGCAATTGGAGACTCTGTACCACCCTGCCCAAATTCCAACATCAGTGTTTCTCTGCTTTTTATTTTCCCAGAAGATACTTGTTTCAGTTGTGTCTGACTCTCCATGACCCCATTTTGGGTTTTCCTGGCAAAGGTACTGAAGTGGCTTGCCATTTTCTTCTCCAGATCATTTTACAGATGGGAAAACTGAGGTGAACAGGGTAAGTGACTTGCCCAGGGTCACACAGCTAGTGTCTTCAGCTGGATTTGGACTCAGGTCTTGTTGACTCCATGCAGGGTACTCTATCCACTGTTCCACCTCCTTGCCCTGAGAGGTTACCATTAAGAAGCAAAGAGCCTGGAGGGAGGTTGAGAGGTGGGGGAAATGAGGACTTCTAGAATAATTCCTGGATTTTGCCAAGGGCAGCCCCAGGGCCCAGGAAGAGTTAGAAACCTAGGGCTTCAAAAGACTAGAGGAATGTCTTGACTCATTAGGGCCCTCTGACCCTTTCTGTCAAGCAGCACCTTCTTTGCCTGTACCTTTCTGTGCAACCTTGGGAACGTCACTTCTCATGTCCCTTCCCTCTGGGCCACATCTTACTCTGAAAAATGAGGGAGTTGGCTTAAGTGATCTCTAAGAGCCATTTCCAGGTCAGATAGCTCATGCGTCTTTGATTTGACAGTTGACGAAACGGAGGCTGAGAGTAACTTACTCAAGGTCAAGGGCTTACCCAAGCAGAACTGGACTTTTAAGAGCTACAGAATTTAAGTGGTCTGGTGGGTCTAGCTCAAACCTCTGAGGACTGGGGCCAAGCCTCGGCTTCCCTTCCCTGCAGTCCTCAGGCAGCCTCACCTTTGCCGCTGGAGACAATGTGAACCAGGCGCTGCACTGAGTCCAGGAGCTGCCGCTGCTGCCTCTGGAGGAGGCTGGTGTTGCTGTTCGCTGCGTGCAGGCTCCTCTCCAGGCCCTCCAGCGTGCTGCTCTGACGGTTCACCAGGCGCCGGAGCTTCTCCCTCTCTCCCCGGATGCCCTCCAGCTCGCTCTGGTGCTTGCTTTCCATGGCCCGCACTCGGGTCTCTAACACACTGCCAGGAGGAATACACAGGGCGGGCAGAAGGGCCACAGGAAGCCTCTGTCAGGGAGCTGGGATCTACCACCGACTTGTGGGGGGCCTTGGCTCTACAGTGAGGTTGGATTGGATGCTGCTCATTGAGCTTCCCTCTGGATCTGAGGTTAGGTGTTCTAGGGGCCCCTACACTCTAACATCATGTGTACTACAGTCTGTGACATTCTGTGTTCTATGGACCTTTCCAGCTCTGGCATTCTATGACTGCAAATAACATTAGGGTGTGGACCCATGGAGAGTTGAAGAAGGTGACCTGGAATGCATCGAGCTGCCAATACCCTGGAGTTTCCTTCAGTTTCCCTTAGGAGGCCCCTACC